CTCTCTCTCTCTCTCTCTCTCTCTCTCTCTCTCTCTCTCTCTCTCTCTCTCTCTCTCATCCTTCTTCACCCTCAGCATGCTTCCCTCAGCACCCAAGGACCACCATTGCCAACCAGGAACCCCCAGCGCCAGGTAAGCCGAGCTATGGCTTCTTGCGCTCAAGCTGCCTCGGCAGCTTCACTTCCAGCGCCCGTGTGTGCGACCAGGCAGACCAGCAAGCCGCAGCACAGCAGCGTGGCCGCATTGCCAGCCAGGGCCTGAATGAGCCAAATGGCTCTGCTCACTTCCTATATGGAAGTGAGCGAGGCTGGATGAGCCTCTGCCCTGGCTGGACTGGCGTCCAGTAGCTTCCAGTCGGGCCCCAGTATCTGCATCCCCATTCTCAGGAACTCAGGAAGTGTTGGGAGGACACACATGGACAACAACAAGACTACTCAGGAATCAGACCCTTCCGCAAGCAAAAAGAGACGAATCTCCCTGTGTGTGTTATGTTGCTATTGCGTGGCTCCTGCGACCGTGCCGCAGCATGTTGCGTCGAAAGGTGTGCTTATAAACAACACCGCGAAAGAGCCCGCAGCCCGGGATGCCCATAGGAAAGAATGCTTATAAAGCCCAGCTTGCAAAGGCCATGAAACGAAAACAACAACAACAAACCAACCAGCGGTAAGACAAATACAACACGGCACACAAAACGGCAAGGCTAAGGTCAAGACACAATATGGTACTTGGATGACACACCGTAGCAAAGAACAAAGGTTGGAGGGCATGGGGGAGACGGGCGGGCGGACAAGCAGCACTAGGCAGAAAAATGAGGCGGCAACAACAGGTCAAGAAGTAGCACCAGACAAAGCAGCACGGCGAAAAGACAACAAGGCAGACAAACAGCACTAGGCACAGGGGAGATCATGGTGGGCGGGCAGACGATCAACACTAGGCAGTGGAGAAGTAACACTAGGGCAGTGAAGCAACAGCACGGAACAGAGGTTGGAGGGCATGGGGGAGGCGGGTGGCCAGGCAAGTCAATAAACAGCACTAGGCACGGGGGAGGTCACAGGGGGCGGGCAGACACATCGCACTAGGCGGAAGCACAAAGCGGCAACAACTAGTCAAGAAGTAGCACTAGGGCGGTGAAGCAACAACATGGAACAGAGGCTGGAGGGCATGGGGGAGGCGGGTGGGCAGGCAAGTCAAGTAGCAGCATGGCAACAAGACACCACGGCAGACAAAACAGCAAGTAGTGAAAAAACACAAAGCGAAAAAAAATAAAGATGAAAGATTGTTTCGTCGGAGTTGCACTGACTCATCAGGAGGCTGAACCCTCTACAATCTGCGGAGTCTCCGTATTTGATGGTTTGGGTCATGAACCCTTTGACCCTTGTTTGAAGGCAATGGTCAAGGTAAGCTAACTGAGGAGGCGAATGTCAGTGAATGGGTTGATACACTAACCCAGGTCTTGACTGTACTTCTAGGGACCCAACAAGATCAGCTTAAACATCTTCGGGCCCTGAACTCGCAGACGAATCCGTATGATTAGGTTTTAAAGACTTTGTGTAAGACTTAGACATGCAGGCTGCACTAAGCTACAACTGCCAATGTTGCACCAGCACTGCAGTTAGCACTCAGCCGGCTGCACCCAAAGCAGAGGATTAAGAACCGTGCCGTGACCGCATCAAGGCCAGACTCCCTGAAACCTATGGTGGAAAAAGGGGAGAGGAGCTTGATAATTGGGCAGTCAATGTCAAAACTTATCTGCACCTCCAGAATATCTCAGAAGAGAATCAAGTCCTGGTGGCTTTTCAAACCTTAAAGGATGATGCAGCTACCTTTGCTAGATCCCTCGCATGAGCCGCTAGTTGCGACAATGACATGGTCGCTTACTCCGCGTGTACTGACCTCGCTGTTTTCCTTCACGAGCTCCAAGAACGCTTTGCAGATGCCACAAGAGCCGTTAGGGCGTCTGAGAAACTCCAGTCCATCCATACACGGCAATGGAGGTGCGCTCGTGCGCTCAAAGGCACTATGGATGAGTTGGTTGCTGTCTCAGGACATGGAGTTACTGAGTCCCAGCTCGTGCAACTCTTTTTCCAGGCTATGCCAGAAGCCTTACGTGCACAATTCCTTACAAGGTCCCAATATTCCGGCATAACATATGATCAGCTGCGAGTCACGATCAGACCAAGTATAAGTCCGAGAGCAGCCTCTACCCTATCGCTATGGCTACACTCACTACAGCTATGGCAGCTATGGCTGCCTCCACCCTATCGCTATGGCTACACTCACTACAGCTATGGCAGCTATGGCTGCCTCTACCCTATCGCTATGGCTACACTCACTACAGCTATGGCAGCTATGGCTGCCTCTACCCTATCGCTATGGCTACATTTCGTCTTCCTTGCCCACTTCGTCTTCGGGCTCACTGCAGACCTCCTTGCACAAGTCGCTGTGGCAGCGCTTCCGCATGGCTCATGCAGAAATGAATGAATGGCTGGGCGCTGCCTCTTGATTTATACTTCTGTGGAATCGTTGGTCTGCCTCTTTTCCCTGGGCCCCAGGTGCACACAGTCCCATATGGTACTTGCTGACTAGACAAAGTGCGACCGGGACTGGGTACCGCTGACTAGGCGAGGTTAGACTATTTATTTTTGCAACTACCCCTGGCCCCTCTGCTAAATTCGTGAAGGGCCCCTTCCGGAACTTCTAGAAGGCCGTAGACTTGGTGGCCATTGTCGTTCTGGGTTCCAAGAACTTCTGACCAAATTGCCTTACCTGAATCTTATGCATTTCTATGAGAACTGGACAGAGCGACACTCTCCTGATGGGCCTTGTCGGACAGAGTTGTTGTCCGGATTATATAATTCAATTACGTACAAAGAAAGTTGGAATTCAGGTCAAGTGAACATATGCCTTTGTTTTCGGGTTGTTTGGGCAACTGCCTCTGTCAGGATGCAGCTAGCTGACATGGCCTGGTGCAGGTCATATACATGGCCCTAGAGCCTCTCTTCAATGTCAGGTGCATTCAGACAGACGTATCCTGTCCTTCAGAGAATGAACAATAGGTCTTTGAATGTTTGTAAAACCCGCTTCTGAGCCCCAGTTTTCTGTTAATTCACATGGCCTCAGAGAGCGACTTAGTGCTCAGAAGACCCTTAGTTTTGCAATGGGTGCCTTCACAGTGCACAGTGGTTTGTTGAAGGATCCATGGAGGGCAAGCACTGTGGAGCTGTAAATTTTGGAAATAAAGATAAGCTTGAATGGCCTCTTTCTTTTTTGTGAAAGAAGCAACAAATGAGAGGATGTTTCATTATGATTTTCTTTATTCTTAATATTTTCTTTCTTTGATTTTGCGGGCGAAGCTGCAACAGGCCATCTAGTATTGGTAAATTAGTCTTCTCTCGACCACAAGCTCAACTTGCAATGCTGAACCAGGAGATTGAGAAGACAACCTTAGGCAAAGGCAGGACGGCTGGTCCTAGTCCCGTGCTATCAATTATATACCTCAATGGATGCGATCAAGTCCATGACTCATTTTCTACCTGCTAGTGGAGTGCATAGAGTCTTGCTTCAGACATGTTTCCCATTCTGACCCGGGACTTGTACCCCTTTGTGGCATCTGAAGTATTCATGGAACACTGTTTCACATAGATTGTCAAATGTGTGTGTGTGTGGCCATGCAGGAGGCCGATGTTAGTGTGGGGCTGCTTGAGGATGATCACGTTACAAAGCGTGAATTTGAGGAAATGCATTCTATCAAGTCATCCAACATGGACATTCCAGGTGGGGATCATATGGCGTTGACGTTGTTGGTCCCTGAGAAACCCGAACTTGAAGCTAGACGGGGTGAACTTGAAGTGGAGATACCCAACCTTGCTGAATTCCAGAGGAAGGAGATAGTGTTGAGAGTGATGGCTGAGAAAGAGAGAGATGATAGGGTGGTAGAGATCGAGGAGCTGAAGAGTGAGGTACCGGCCTTAAGGACGAAGCTGGAAGAGAATGCAAAGGCTATGGAAGCGCGTCAAGAAGAGGTAGACGGACTCAAAGTGGTGATCCAGGAGAAGGAGGAGCAGCTGAAAATTGCTGCTGAAGAGCTGGAGGTTGTTCAGGACGTGATGATCAAGGAGGTGGAGCAGCAGCTGAAAATTGCTGATGAAGAGCGGGAGGTTCTGAAGGACGAGATGGCCAAGCAGAGAAAGGACATGCAAATTGTTGTAAGGGAGGCAATGATGATGCTTGAAGAGGAGCGGAAAGCAAGGCATGCTGCAGAAATTCGTCGGGATGAGCTATCATTAGAGCTATCATCTCTGCAAAAGGACATGGAAGTGGCTCAGAACACAATAAGAATGTTGACTGATCGGCCGCTCGGTATGGATGGACGAACTTCTCTAATACTGCAGGACAGAAGGGATCGTTGCTTTTCCTGTGGAATGCCAATGCATTCTCAGCGAAATGAGTTAAGGGAGGCAAAGGCAGAGGCAAGAGAAGCAAAAACGAGGGAGAGAGATTTAAGAGGTGAACCGCAAAAAACTCTGCAGCTGTTAGGGGTAAAAGAGAAGGAAATCGAGCAAATGCAGGGCCGTGCGAAGGATTCCGAGGGGGACCTCTGTGGGTTGGTGTCTGAAACACAAGGGGGAATGAGCAGCCTTGAGGGACAAATCCAGATCGCAGGTGGAGAAGGGAGATTGCAGGTTGATAATTCAACTTTTATGCAGGAGGACCTGGAGAAGGTTAAAGATGAGGTATAGATTGCTGTAAAAGAGACACAGACAAACCGTTTTTTTTTTTTTTTTTTTAATTTTATTTTTAAAACGGAACCTCTCATACTTGCAGCGCATCGAGCCTGTGCACTGCGCGGTGCGCGGACCCGAGGTGCGCGCGCACCGGCGCGCGTCGCGCACCTGGGTGCGCGCTGCGCTGCGCACATGTCCGCATTTTTTTTTTTTTTTTTTTTTTTTTTTAGTTTCGTTGGAGAACACACACACACACACACACACACACATACACACACACACACTCTGCAAGATTGCTGTCTCTTATACACATCTAGATGTGTATAAGAGACAGGCACCAAACAGTGGACTATGTCCTGTACCGCTCCTGCCGAGCAGCCTGTACATATCTCCGAGCTATCCGGGTTAGTAGTTTTACGCCTAGTGTGCAGCCACTGGTTCACTGGTA